TATAGACATCCACATGCAGCCTCAGAGAGCAGTCATGTTACCTGCCCAAAGCTCTGGGGGCCCATCTTCTGCCACATTATGTTCTGGATGCTGAGCTTGGAGCTTTAGAATTTAATGTTTGCTCTGCTGGGTTTCAGTCTTGTTTTGGCCAATTTCTTCTTTCTATTTGCTTATTCCTTGGTATTTTTAATACCGAGGTGCTGAAGAAATTCAATATGTGCTCAGAAGTGGGTCAGCAAGGCAAATTTGTACTTCTGCAGAAGGGTGCGCCCCCAAAGGGAATATGGCAAGCAAGCACTCCTGGGAGGGTAGTCTGCCAATATTTATCCCTAAGGAAGCACTGCCATTTGCTCCTGATAGGAAGAGATTGGAGGTACAATTGGATACTTGTTAGGGAAATTTTTAAATGGCTCCATCCTGACCACATGGTTTCCTAACTTAGGATGGTTCCATTATACACATGAAACTTAAGTTACAGTAAACATTCCTGTGTTGCATTACAGGCTTAACTTTGACAGAAAACAAGACAAATCTTACACTTCTCTTTGGAATATTTACCCAGTGCTTGTCCCGTGATTGTATCTCAGAAATATGTAAATCAATTTTCTTTTCTTTGTTTGCTTTTGTTTTTATTTTTATGGGGACCCACAGCTGAAAGTTTTCCTGGACTCTCAGACTTTGATCTTGAACCTTACACTGATATTGGAACAGTTAAGATTTTGGAACTCTTAAGGATGAAATGAATACATTTTGCATTGTGAGATGGACATGAACCCTTAGGGAACAGGGACAAAATTTTATGGCTTAGATGTGGTTTGAGTGTCCCCAATGGTTCATTGACACTGAACCACATCCCCAGCCCTTTTTATTTCATTTTATTTATTTATTTATTTTTTATTTTGAGACAGGGTCTTGCTAAGGGCCTTGCTAATTTGCTGAGATTGGCTTTGAACTTGCAATCCTCCTGCCTCAGCCTCCTGAGTTACTGGAATTACAGGTGTGTGCCACTGGGCATGGTGACTTTGCGTATTACATTATCTGATTAGGTTTACAATGAATATTGGTGTAGTATACATGGTGATAATACCAGAAGGGTAGTTAACTGAAAATATGATATTGTAAGTTTTTTATATTTTACTGGATGTAGTTCAAGGTTACCTTAAGTAGATTGTGAAATTTAAAGATGCAGATTTCAATTTCTCAACCACAGTGAGAAATGAATGCAAATATATACAACTAATAGCTAGTAGAGGCATTAAAAATTTTAAAGAATTATATATGTAAAGTTAAAAAAGTATATGTAATGTTTCTGTTGTTAGTTATTCCTTTCTGTATAAGTTAGTTATCATCTAACATCATTACACTTTAGGTTTTTCTGCATTTCAAATTACTTGTGCTGAAAGACTTCTAGCAAGGAATCTGGTCCATTTTTGTTTACCAGATACTTGTTTTTGCCTTGTTTCCTCCCTTTTTGTCTATTAAGAGATTTATGTAAAATAAAATTCACTAATTTGAGGTGTAAAGCTACAGGAGTATTGGTAATTTTTCAGAATCATTAACCACTGCTATGACCAGGATATGCTCTTAGCTACCTTTGCCCTAAACTGTCCTCATCTGCCTTCCTGCTTGATCCTCTCCTCCACCCCAGCTCTAGATGACCACCAATCTCCTTTTTGATTATAATTTTAAATATTCTAGAATTTCATGTACATACAACCATAGAGTATATAATTTTGTTATAATATAGTTATTTTTAAGCTTTGTTGTGCTATGTTGCTTTGTTGTGTGTGTTTTAATATTTCAATTTTTTTTTTTTTTGGTGCTAGGGATTGAACTCAGGGGCACTCAACCACTGAGCCACATCCCCAACCCTATTTTGTATTATATTTAGAGACAGGGTCTCACTGAGTTGCTTAGTGCCTCATCATTGCTGAGGCTGGCTTTGAACTCGTGATTCTCCTGTCTTAGCCTCCTGAGCTTCTAGGATTATAGGAATGCACTGCTGCACCTAGCAATATTTCATTCATTTTTAATACTGGGTATTGTTGAAATACTAATTTATCCATTGGATTTCCTACTGATAATATGTTAAACAGGTGGGTTATTCCCAGTGTGGGTCTGTTAAAGTAAAGCCACTATGAACATTTGAGTATAGTCTGTCTGTGTAGGTAGGTTTTCCAGGCTTTTAGATAATATGCCCAAGACTGGAGTTGTTCGGTCACAAGGTCAGTGTGTTTAATGATATCAGAATTTGTGATACTGTTTTACAAATGGGTTGTAATTTTTTCACATTTCTAACAGTAATGTGTTTTATATGCTATTGATATGCAGTATTGTCACAAGTGTTTTTAATGTTATATATTCTAGTTGAGGTGAGGTAGCATCTTTGTTTATCTTTGGTGACTACTGATGGTGAGCATCTTTTCAATACTTATTAGGGCTGGGCACATGGTGCATAACTGTAATCCCAGGGCTTGGGAACCTGAGGCAGAAGGATCATGAGTTCAAAGCCAGCCTCGGTAACTTAGCGAGGCCCTAATCACCTCGACAAGAGCCTGTCTCTAAATAAAATATTAAAAAGGGCTGGGGATGTGGCTCAGTGGCTAAGCGCCCTTAAATTTAATCCCTGGTACCAAAAAAGGAAAAACAAAAAAGCTTTTTAGGGACTTGCATGTCTTAGCCTGTGAACTGTTCTCCACATCTTTTGTCCATGAAGGTGTTTGTCTCATTGAATTGTAAATATTCTTCATATATTCTGGATATTGGCTATATGACAAACATATTTCCTGCAAAATTTCTCTCCCTTTCAGTGGCTCATGTTTTAATTTCCTTTACCATGATTATTAAAAGGGTTATAATCCATTATATTTTTGTTTTATATTTTATGCTTTTTGCTTTACACTTCATGTAGTCAAATTTTTTTTTGTTAATCTAATTTCAATAAATTTTCTCCTGGGTTTGTAAAAAGATGTTTAATAACTTTTTTGCATTAGCTATATTGTGATTTAACACTTGATTTTGATGGGAGGTAAGGATTGAGCTCCATTTCCTTTTCCCATATGGATTTCATTCAAGGTGTTCCAGTAATATGTGTTGAAACTCTGTGTTTTCTCCAACAAATTATCTTGGCACTTTTGTCAAAAAATAAATGAAATGTGGAAAGAGAGAGAGAGGGAGAAAAACTGATAATAAAAGTGTGGTCCCATAGCTGGACTCTTATGTTAGGAGTGATCTATGTGTCTATTCTTATACCTATGCCATGTTTTGTTGATTACTGTATGTTTTAATCAGCTTTTCTTTGCTATGACTAGAAGGCTGGACAAGAACAATTTTAAAGGACAAAAAGTTTATTTGGTGCTTAAGATTTCAGAGGTCTCAGTCCAGAGAAGGCTCACTCCGTTATTTAGGGCTTGAGGTAAAGCAGGACATCATGGTAGAAAGGTGTGGCAGAGGAAAGCAACTCAGGACATGGCAACATGGAATCAGAGAGAGAGAGCAAGAGAGGGCACTTCCCTCATCACGGGAAAATATAAACCCCCAAAGCCAGTCCTCAGTGACCCATCTCCTCCAGCCACACCCTGCCTACCTAAAATTATCACTCAGTTCATCCCTATCAGGGGATTAATGCACTGATTAGGTAAAGACTCTCATAACACAATCATTACATCTCTAAACTTTCTTGCATTGTCTTGTACCTAAGCTTTTGGGGGACACCTAATATCTAAATCATAACACTGTAATTTCCTAAGTTTTGAAATAAAATATTTTAAGCCTTCCAACTTTGTTCATGTTTTTCAAATGATTTAGCTATTCTAGGTTGCTATAGTTTGGATGGTGAATTTCCCCGACATGTTGGCTTGATCCTCAACCCATGGTTCTATTGGGAGGAGCTGGGACATTTAGGAGATGGACCTAATAGAAGCAAGTTAGATCACTGGGGGGTGGGCCCTTGGAGGAAATATTGGGAACCCAACCCTTATTTGTTTCTATATTGGATTCCTGGCTGGCATGATTTGAATGATTTCCTTCTTCATGTGTTCCTACCATGATGTATTGCTGTGCTACAGGTCCAAAAGCAATGGAGCCAACTGACCATGGGTTAAAACTTCTGAGGCCAAATAAGGCTTTCTCCCCTCATATGTCGTTTGTTTTATCTCTGACATTTAGTCACAATTATGGAACATTGACAAACATGTGTATTATACCTTTACCTACACATTTTAAAAGCAACATGTCTGTATGGAGACATGAATTGGTGTGAATATACTTTATATAAGAACAGAGATATGAAAAATTGTGCTCTATATGTGTAATAAGAATTGTAATGCATTCTGCTCTCATGTAATAAAATAAAAAGCGATTTAAAAAAAGCAACATGTCAATTAAACCTGTTTTGATTTCTTTGGATTGTATTAACTCCAATTGATTTTGGAGAGGATTTTCACCTTAAGGATATTGAGATTTCCAGCTCTGGAGGCTGAGACAGGAGGATTGCAAGTTCAAAGCCAGCCTCAGCAAAAGTAAGGCACTAAGCAACTCAGTGAGACCTTGTCTCTAAATAAAATACAACATAGGGCTGGGATGTGACTCGGTGGTCGAGAGTCCCTGAGTCCAATTTCCCTTCATCATATTTAATAGTTTTGAGAGTAAAACCCTCACATCCTTTAAATGAAATTTATATTCAGGAATTCTTTTACACTCCTAAATTTTTTTGTTTTAGACTCATTTTAGATTTACAGAAAGTTGCAAAGAAGTACCGGAAGTTGCCATTTATCCTTTATCTAGGTTGATTATTGCATGTTTATTATAATTAAGAAATTATGGACTGGGGATATGGCTCAGTTGGTAGAGTGCTTTCCTTGCCTGCACAAGGCCCTGGGTTCAGTCCCCAGCACCACACACAAAAGTTGTTTTATTAAAACTGACTAAACTATTTTAGTTTATCTTACTATTTGTATTTTGTCAGTTTTCAAGCTAATGTGTTCTTTTTTCTGTTCCAGGATCCAATTCAGAATATTGAATTTCCACCCGAGTCTGATTCTGAGAATGGCGGAGCTTGGGGAGGCGGACGAAGCGGAGTTACAGCGCCTGGTGGCCGCTGAACAGCAGAAAGCGCAGTTCACTGCACAGGTGCACCACTTCATGGAGCTATGTTGGGATAAATGTGTGGAGAAGCCAGGGAATCGCCTAGACTCTCGAACTGAAAATTGTCTCTCTAGCTGTGTGGACCGCTTCATTGACACTACTCTTGCCATCACCAGTCGGTTTGCCCAGATTGTACAGAAAGGAGGGCAGTAGGCCACCCCTTAAGAAAATGACAAAAGCAGTGGACTTGTTATTAAGCAGATTGAAGTGCAAGTGGGGGAGGAATTGTCAACTGATTGTCAAGTCAGCATCAGGCTGTTACCAAGTTTGTTGGTGCTAAAAAGTAACAGATCGAATGTTCAAAAAGTGAAATTTTATTTATTTGGAATTCAGAAATTCCAGGTTGTATCACACCAGTTATTCAATAAACATGAATTCTCCAACTTAAAAAAAAAAAAAAAAAAGAATATTGAATTTCCTTTAGCTAAGTATGTTTGATGTTACTGAAAGTGGAGTTTATAAAATTATCCTTTCCTAATTGTTATTCCTAAGATAATGGAATAAAATTGATTTGGGTTTATTGAGACTGTATGCTATGGCCTAGCTAAATTAATTGATTGGCTGTGGAAATTTTGGAGAGTTCTTTAGACTTTTCTATACAAATACTTGTGTTTCCTGCAAATAAGGACAGGTTTACTTCTTTCCTTTTTATTTATAAGAAATTATTTCATTTTTTTTTCTGTTGTACTGGCTATGTCATCCTCAATAATGTAAATAAAAATGGTGAGATCTGACACCTTATTTTGTTGTGAATTCCAAAAAAATAAAAAAAAAGTGTTGAGCCTTTGATCATTGAGACAGATGCTAACTAAAGAATTTTATTACTCTCCCTAATCTTGTTGAGAAAGTTCCTTTCAATCCCTAGTTTGCTAAAAATTTTACAATGAAATGATGTTCAATTTGGACAAATGCCTTTCCTGCATTCCTTTAAAGGGCTAAGGAAAATATTAAAGATCTTTCCTGTCTATATGCCTGCCATGACCTTTGCATATCCTTGATTGAACATCTGAAGAATGTTGACTTATTGTGTTTGGTTCACTCATGAAATCTTAGAGTTGTTCACTTATCTCAAGGTAAACACTCCCTTCTTTCTGAAATTTGACCCGTCCTTGGGAAAATAAAATCCTTGAGGGGGCTGGGGATGTGGCTCAAGCAGTAGCACGCTCGCCTGGCGTGCGTGCGGCCCGGGTTCGACCCTCAGCACCACATACAAACAAAGATGTTGTGTCCGCCGAAAACTAAAAAATAAATATTAAAAAATTCTCTCTCTCTCTCTCTCTCAAAAAAAAAAAAAAAAAAAAATCCTTGAGGGATCACTAGGTCATGCATATTGTTAGAAGGGAGACTTCTTTGTCCTAACTTGTATTCAGGGAGCATCACCGGGAATAAGGCTTTGGAGTCTCATCCATGGAGAGGATGCTCTGCCCAGAACTTCTCAGTTGGGACCCTGAAAAGCTGCCCTGGGATTCCCTGGCTACATGACTTCAGGTGTTGGTGTCTCTCCCATCTGGTGATATATTTTCTTCTCCTTTGCCTTTTCAGTTTTGCTTTTACTCTTAAATTATTACTAAAATAAACACTATTTTATATAAAGAGAGTGTCTTTATTGTCAATTGGATCCAACCTGCCAGATTCAGCAGCTGCGTATACACGTAATACTTTAATGTTACACCCTATGACTTTTCAACTTCATTCTCTCTCCTGGGTGCCAGGGATTGAGCCCAGGGCCTTGGGTATGCAAGGCAAGCACTCTACCAATGGAGCTATATATATCCCCAGCCCTTCAGTTCATTCTCTTAATGTGATGACAAGGGTTTTTATTTTAGAATATTAGACCAATCTTGATTTCCTATGAGATGATAAAACAAGTGTGGACAGATGTATGCTGATTTTTTTAAACATGTTTTTGTATTTGATTTTCTAACTTTTTTTTTTTTTTTTTTTGCATATTATTGTTCTCTTGTGATGTCTTTGCCTGGTTTTGGAATCAGGATAATATTTTTCTTATAAAGTGATTAGGAAAAATATGTTCTTATTTATAAGAAAATATGTATAATTAATACTATTTTTAACTATATGTTTAACTTAAATCACCAATGAAAATTTCTGGATATTAAATTATGGGGAGGTTTCCAATCACAAAATAAAATGTCTATATGATTGGAATATTACCTATTATTATTTTCCATTTTTTCTTAATGTCTCACAAGAAATTGTTAATTTTTTCTAAGTTGTCAAATGTGTTATCATTAATTTATTACTAATATTCCTGGATCATCATTCTTACATCTGGAGTATCCACACTGATATACTTTCTTTCATTCTCAGCATTGGTAATTTCTTTTTTCCTATAAAATCAATCTAGGCTCATAAGATAATATCTTTGATAGAGAATAAATTCCATATTTTTAGTTTATCAATTTTAAAAATTATTTTTTAATTTCATATTTGTCTTCATTCCCTTTCTTCTGCTTGCCTTGGGTATGTAGTGTTTTAAGGTTGAAGTTATTAACTGAAGATATTCCACACATTTTAATGTGCTATATTTCCTTATTCAATTTAAAATGTTTCCCAATTTCTTCTTTGATCCAGTGATTACTCAGAATCTTATTATTTAACTTCCAGATACTTAAAGGTGTGCTGGTTATTTCATTGAGACTTGCTTCTAATTCAACTTTATTATGGTCACAAAATATACTCTGTTATCAGTACAGTATTTTCAGATTTGTTGAGAATTGTTTTATGGTTCCACAAAAGGTCTAGCCTGGCAGATGTACATTTGCACTTGAAATAATATGTCTATGGGGCTGGGGGTGTGGCTCAAGCGGTAGCATGCTCGCCTGGCATGCGTGCGGTCAGGGTTCGATCCTCAGCACCACATACAAACAAAGATGTTGTGTCTGCTGAAAACTAACAAATAAATATTAAAATTCTCTCTCTCTCTCTCTCTCTATCTATCTATCTCTATCTTAAGAAAAAAAAAGAAATAATATGTGTGCTGTTGTTTATATTTGTATACAGTTTATTAATGTTAGTGAAGTCTAGGTTGCTTTTCGTGTTTTCCACATCTCTCTCTTTGCTTTCTTTTTCTCTGGTTGTTGTATAAATTGCCAGGAAGAGTATAAAAGTCTCTGGTGGCATTTCTGGAGTTGTATATTTCTCTGTGTAATTCTGTCACTTTTTCCTCATGAATTTTAAAGCAGTGTTTTAGGGACCATGTACATTTTAGGGACCATGTACATATGTTTTCCTGTTGATCCTTTTACCCTCAGGAAGCATGCTTCTTTATCTCTAGTAACACATTTTATTTTGAAATGTGTTTTTCTAATAGTATCATGGTCACTTTCCCGTTAGCATGGGATATCTTTTCCCATAAATTTACTTTCACTTTCATCTTTATGCTATGAGTGCATATCTTGCAAACAGCACACCACTGCCAGTCAACCTATCAGCCTTTTAATTGGAGGGGTGACTCCTAAGGTTAGTTTTAGTTGTTAAGATCAAAGGTTTGGGGCCTACTCTTGTTTCTTGTTCTCCATAACCTCATTGTCTGCCTAATGACTTTATAACAAGAAGAAAGTAAGGCAAAACCTTTAAGGTTCTGAGCAAAATAAAGTCAATCCATAATATCTAGCAAAAGTGTCCTTCAAGAATGAAGAGAAACAGATTTTCTGATGAAAGTTAAATTATTTCATCACCAACAGATCCACACTATATGAAATGGTAAAGGATTTCTTCAGTTTAGGGGAAAATGATACTATAGAAAACTCAGACTCCTAGAAAAGGTGAGAGTATCAGAAATGGCAAATGTTTGGCTCAATACTATCTTTGATCTCTCTCCCTCTCTCTTGCTTTCTGTTTGACCTTTTGCATTACTTAATAAATACAAATATAGCTTTTTCTTAAGTGCTCTGTTTCCTGAATTATCATATATTAAACATGGTAACTAAACATAACAATGGTTACAGTTTAGAAGTCTGAATGGTTGCAAGATTTCTATATTTATATGAACTAAGACACTGTTAACTGGATGTAGTGTAAAGAGTTAAGATGAGCACTGTAATCCTAAGGAAAACCCCTATGAAAGTGGTGCAAAAAATAAAGCTAGAAAGAAAATAAAAATGGTATTCTAAAAACAAATTAAGTAATTCAAGCATTTTCTTGACTGAAGGGGGATTGAATCCAGAGGCCCTCAACCACTGAGCCACATTCCCAGGACTTTCTTGTGTTTTATTTAGAGACAGGGTCTCACTGAGTTGCTTAGGGCCTTGCTAAGATGCTGGGGCTGGCTTTGAACTTACTATCCTCCTGCCTCAGCCTCCCCAGCTGCTGGAATTACAGGCAAGCACCACTGTGCCTGACTAAGAGGTCAGTTTTGAAGGACAGTTTCAGTGGATATAAAGTCATTTGGGCCGAGCGCAGTGGTGCATGCCTGTAATCCAAGCAGCTCAGGAGGCTGAGGCAAGAGGATTGCGAGTTCAAAGCCAGCCTCAGCAAAAGTAAGGCGCGAAGTAAAAAAAGTCATTTGGCAGTCTTTTTCTACCAATTATTTCCACGCATCACTCCAATCTCTTGTGGACTTCTTTGTTTGTTTCTAAAGAGGAAAAAAAGCCCTTGATTGCATAGTTGTTCCCTGTGCATTTGTTACTTACTGGTTCAGAACAATCACTCCAAAACACAGCAACTTAAAATTACCAATGTTTATTAATTTGCCCCTTTCCTCTAGGCAATGTTCAAGGTCAGAACTGGAAGGCTGATGAACAGGGAAGGACCTCATTCACAGCTCATTCCTGTAGCTCTTGGCTACAGCCCTCAGTTCTGGGCCAAGGGGGACTGCCTTTAGGTGACTGTCTGGTCGAGATGGCTGAGCCAGGAATGAATGTTCCAAGAGAGAGCAGAGCAAGCAGGAAATCCTACTGTCATCATAATTGTCATATCCCACCCCCGCATCACCAGAGATTGAAACTAGGGGCTATATCCCCAGATCATTTATTTATTTATTTAAATTATTTTTATACCTTTATTTTATTTATTTTTATGTGGTGCTGAGGATCAAAACCAGCGCCTTGCACATGCGAAGCGAGCGCTCTATCGCTGAGCCACAATTTTTATTTATTTATTTTTTATTTTTAAATTTTTTTTAAAGAGAGAGTGAGAGTGAGAGAGAGAGAGAGAGAGAGAGAGAGAGAATTTTTTAATATTTATTTTTCAGTTTTTCGGCGGACACAACATCTTTGTTTGTATGTGGTGCTGAGGATTGAACCCGGGCCGCACGCATGCTACCGCTTGAGCCACATCCCCAGCCCTACACAATTTTTATTTTTAATGTTTATTTTTGAGAGAGGGTCTCACTAAGTTGCTTAAGGCCTTGCTAAATTGCTGAGGCTAGCTTTGAACTTGTGATCCTCTGCCTCAGTCTCCTGACCCACTGGGATTACAGGCATGTGTTCCACACCCCATACCAGTCTTTTTATCTGTGGCTGCACACCATAAATTTTGTTTTATCTCTTCACTAAGTCCAGCCACATTCACAGGGAGGGGAACTAGTTTCTATTCTTAAATATCAAGGAATTTGTAGTCATTAGAAAGCTACCATGGTCATCTTTCTGACACAAATTATTAATATTTCTTCCACATGTACAATAAACTGCTTTCCATCCAAGGCCTCCAAAAGACTCATTTTATGACCTAACCAGTGTCAACTCCAGAGTCTCATCATCTGAATCAGGTCCAGCTACAGTGAAGCTCCTTGAATGAACTGATGTCAATGTAGCTCTCCACATGCAGTCCATGAAA